CATTTAAGTATTGTTTCGAGACTATCAGTAAATCAGTAATAGGAGAGGCATTCACCCTATTCAGTTTAAGCTGATGAAGGACCGGTAGTAGTCTTTTTCCCACAATGATATGAGTAGAGTTGACGTTTCCATTGAATTTCACATAGCCTTGCTTTCCCAAGAGTTGTTCTCATCCCGGCTGGAGTGGACTGCAGTTTCGACTCCGCAACAATTGTTCTTATCAACACCCTCAGCGCGAGTCGAACCGTGACTGTGCAGAATGGGAACTTGACACGTTAACCACTCAACCAAATTGCCACGAGTGTCCTTGGGTCAGAGGACGAATGTGAATTTGAAGGAAGGCCAGACCTTTTGTCATATCACATTATTTGGTGTGATTGTCGATGAAGCAAATATATATTTGCAATAAAAATCGACTACGTTACTTGATTTTTCGCATTTAAGTATTGCTTCGAGACTACCGGTAATGAAGGAATTTTTCGAAACCCAGTTTCTCTTCATACACAAGATTGGCGTTTCGCTTCCATTGATAGTATTCCAAGCACGAGTAGGACATGAATTGCTGTACCTAAGCGCAGTCTGTCGCTCCAGCGTGGCCAATAGATTAAACGAGGACGGTCAATTGACCGTCTCGAGCATAGACAGACCGAGTGGGTTGGGCCATCGTCGTAGCGATGCGACAAGTCATAAATTACCCAACTCGACTGTGACCGTGTGGCCAAATAACGACCCCTCCGTCCCAGAGACCGCAGTGCATGCCGAGTCGTCATGCCTAGTCCTGGTTGCTGTCCTCCTGCAGACCGCTCTCGAGTGGAGTCTTTCTGCCATGCCGGGCAGTCTAGCCTGTTTGCTCACTCTTTCACTCGGCAACAACGCCTGGCAACTCGATCACACCGGATCGGATTAGAGCTGTACCACTTCCTTCATGCGGCCAGATCTCTCCTCCGTCCACCTCGAGACACGGCTGACCTGGAGCCGTCTGTGGCCTGAGCAACGGTCGACAATGTCAGCTGATGTAGACACATGACGAACATTAACCTGACCCAATACTGGCATAGATTCCGCAAGAGTATGACTTCAAAAGAAATATTTACGCATGGAATTGTTGAATAGATAGCGTCAACGAGTTGAGTAACAAATACCTGCTGTTGTATATTTTATTTCGGTTTAAAAGGCCAGTCGAAGCAAGTGGAAACAGGATTAGAATTCGCAACCAGCCACCCACAAAGCAGATGTGCTATGAAGAGAAAGTGGGTTCCGAGAGTATTCGTCAGTCAGCCTCATTGTCTTAGAGTTATGACTTTAGATTTGTGCCAATAATTCCTTGATCCAAAGACGTTTTTAGAAATATATTCAATTACGAAAAAAAGTAATATCGTCGATTGAAGTAGCAAATATAAGTTTATTTCTTCGACAATCCCAACACAGAATGTGATATAGAAAATGCCTGATACTCTTTGAAATTCACATCC